CTCATGCAAAGAGGTCCCAAATAAAGCCATTCTTTCCCTTCCAGTTCAGAGAAGATACGTAACATTACCAGCTAATCTCCTGACCTGTGACTTCAGTTCGATCTGGTTACAAAGGGTGAATAAAAACATTAAAAAAATCAGATTTTCAGCTGTCTGAACAGAATTCCAAGAAAAAACTAAGCAGATCTTCTAAGATCCTCAAAGGGTTTTTCCTGACTGTGCACATAAGAATTCAAGGCTCCACTGAATGCATCAAGTATTCAACTGAAAGTTTCCAGGTTAAGAATACTCAGTGCAAAAGACACCTCACTGTGACAGAATCCAATATCCGTGAAAGGGGATATTTTATCTCTACTAGCATCTGAGAAGAACAAACTACGCACACATGAAGACCAAAAGAAACACACTAAAAAAATTCCGACAAATGCTTTAAGTTATATTTTTATTACAAAATTACACTTGGAGTTAGTTGCATATAATAGCTTATGCTGACAGTGTTGCACAGCTGCTCCCACATAAGGCAACAACTGCAGAGCCTGCTTGCACTAACCATGTTACTTTATATCCACTACAGCTAAATTAACTGCAGTCATTACTGCATCTGATGAGACAGTGTTAGGAACCACAAGTGGGTAAGCCAGGACAAGAGAAATTTTTTTATGCCTCAAAGAATCACAGAATAGCTTATTTTGGAAAAAAACTCTAATATCAAGTCCAACAATTAACTGAGTACTGCCAAAATAGTAGGTACAGCTTTATGTATTTTTAGGTAGGAACTAAAACCTTTACTTGGTACATTTCAATAATTAAGCCTTAATACAACCTGGGCCAAAAGATTCCTAAAAAAGAACCTGGACAACTTTATGGAAGAGATCCTGAGGGAGCTGACTTGGAAAGATGCCCTCCTTGATCTGCTGCTTGTCCACAGAGTGGATCTCGTTAATGTGGAGACTTGTGGCCTCTTGGCCACAGTGACCACGAAGTGATCAAGTTTAAAATTGCTTAAAATCTCCTTGACAGGAAGAAAAGTGCCAGCAAACCCTCAACTCTGGACATGAGGAGAGCAGACTTCAGGCTGCTCAGGGAATCAGTAAGTAAAGTCCCCTGGGAACTAAGGGCACAGGAGCAGCAATTCCCAAATGCTGGAAGTCAACCAGCTGAGGCAGAAGGCTGGCTCAGTGCAGCAGGGATCTTCTCTTAGAAATAAGGCAAAAGAGGAAAGTCTATGCCCAGTGGAAGCAAGGTCAAGGGACACGGAAAGAATTCAGAGATGCTCCTTGCCACTGTAGGGAGAAAATTCATATAGCCAAAGCTCTGGGGTTGAAGCTGCCAGAAATGTGGGGGACAATAAAAAGCTTTTTCCAACACATTAATGGCAATAGGCAGTAACAGAAATATGATCAGCCCGTTACAGGATGAGCATGGTTGTAGGAGTCGGGAGTGGGACAGGGGAGACCTCCAGGCCCTTGGGTGCCAGCCCATTACCTGGAAGGTGAATGCCCTTCCCCCCTGCCCCTGCCACGTGGCCTGATGACCCCGTAAGGAGCTCACAGACCACCAGGGAGGGATGGATGAAAGAGGAAGTTTATTGTGGGGTAGGGGTTTATAAGGCTTTCAGGAGGGTCAGAGGGGAACCAATTACAAGTTCAGGGTCACACAGAAAAAAACAATCAGGTAAGGGGTCAACAGCCAATAGGAAGTGTAGCATTAAACCTGTATTATATGGGAAAATTGTGGTTTAAACAGGTTTTAAAATGGCTTTTGGTGGTGTCTTTGCAAACACATGCTTCTTCTTCCCACAACCCCCTTTGTTATCCATGCAGGAATGTCCTGGGAAGGTGTCCTGAGGTGTTTCCCATTTGGCCTTTGTTAAGCCCTTCCTGTGATTGGGTGTTCCTGTAAACTCCTTGAGACTTCTAATTGGTTACTCTGTGAATCCTCCTAAACCCTATAAATGTAACATCCCCCACAATAAACGCTCTCTTGCCTCCTCTCCACGCCCGGTGTCCTGTGTCCTGTCTCCCTGCCGGCCATGGGGCCACGTGGGGGGTGGGAGGGGGGAGCACCTCTCCCCTCCAGGCTCAGGGCCTGAAAAAACCCCTGAGCTACCCCTGGAGTTTCCTTTCCCCATCCCTCAAAGTGTCGCAATGGTTCTTCAGATGGAAACGGAACTAGAACTGGGTCGCCTCACGCCGCGGGTGGGGAAAGGAATCCAGAAGGAAGGGGTTAACAAGGACCAATGAGAAACACCTCAGGACACCTTCCCAGGACACTGTATGGGAGACAGGTCCCTCACAGGGGGTGTTGGGAAGAAGAAACAGTGACTTTGCAAAAAAGGCAAGAGCCATTTTAAAACCTGTTTAAACCACCTTAAAAACTTCTCTTTCTATAACATTTGAGCTGTTTTCTTTTTTTTCTTCACTAGTCCATCTCTGACAGGACTTCTTCCATCCTACATATGGCAAACCCATTGCCACAGTTGGGTTTCAGAAAGGGTGCTGAAAAGCACCCGGGGAGATGTAGTTCCCAGGTACTCCCACACTCATGGGCAGTGAGATGCCCTTGGTGACTGTTACTTTGAACCCACATATATAAGGTGTTGCCTGACTTGAATAAAGAGAATTCAGCTGTGAACCCCCAAACCAGCCGGGTCTATGTGGTTTGTATCAATGCGCCTTATCTGGCGCCCAACGTGGGGCACAACCCTGTGTCGGGGATGATTAGAGACTGCCTTGTAACAAGGAGAATTACAGCAGCGTTCGAATGAGTTTGTTTTAAAAACTTGGAATGCTTTTCTCTGTAAAAAAGTCAGACATTGTAAACCGAGCTAAAAGCAGGCAGAAAACGTCATTAAACAAAGGACGTGGAATACCAGTGCAAAAAGACGACTGGGATGTCGCGTAGCAGAGGACTGAGTGGAGCTCCGAGAATCTAAGTACTGCGCACATGAGAGACCTGGCAGAGTAAAGCTTTGAAAGGAGAAAAGCTAAAGCTACAGAGAACTCGAGGTAAGCAGCCGGCACGGGAAGTTAAAATTCAAGGGAAATGACAGAAACAACTACGCAGGATTCTGTTAAGTAGAATCCTTGGTGTGACTGCTTGAAAAAAAATCTGGAGAGACTGTTCGAGAGAAAGCAGAGATAGAAGACGCGGACACTTTAAAAATCTCACATACAACTCACAGATTTGTCCATGGAGCAAAACTTTAAACCTTTTGTTCATCCCACGAGCCCTAACACACAAAGGACTCCACCAAACATAGGAGCAGACAAGGGGGTGGGGCAGAACCACGAGCAGACAGAGGACCGTTCGCAAACCTAAAGGACCTAACAAAGGATTTAGGCTGGGTTTCACGTGGGCAGGAGCGAGCACGTGGCATGGACTGTGTGACTGTTAGGGAAAGACAGACCTTGAGTCCACGAGGCACTGCCACACTGCAGCCACGTGGTGGCCATGCCGCACCGCTTTGCCCACGGACAGACAGCTTGCCGAGCATCCCAGCTTAAGGAAGTGTGCTTAAAACATGTGATCCGGTACAGCTGCCAGACATGATTACCAGAAGTGACAGACTGAGAAACACACAATTAATAACCTCTACAAAACCCCAAACTTCGTGATTTAAATAGAGACATAATAAAAATTCTAAGTATGCATGAACGAAGATGAATGAAGTGGCCACTTACGTACGAGTGTGAAAAGGTAGCTCATCATCATGGCCGGGCTTCACGAACGAAGATTTGGGAAGGGCTCTACCCATGTTTGTTGCAAGCACGTTGGAAAAGGTAGCTACCTTGGTGTGAATGAATGAGAGAAGCTGTGTGGACATGTATGTATGTAGACTTGGAGATACTTATGTTTCATGTCCCCTGAACAAATAACACTTGCATCATGTAACACTTGTTCTCTAAGGGCCCTTTTCTTGAAATGAACTTCTCCTGGTTACCAATTACATGCAAGCCCTTGGGGAAGTGAAAGTCAATGTTTTACCCGGTTATGCAAAAACCCTCAGGTTAATAAAGTTGTTGTTTATCCCAAATACATACAAACCTCTCAACAAAGTAAGTTTGTTGAGAGACCAAGGTGGGCAGTGAGCTGAGTCACCGTGATGCAGTGGTGATTGTTAAAGAGGGTTTACGAAGTTTAAAATGTACTGTTATATGCAATGTTCTGTATTTCCTCATAACAATAAAGAAGAGGGGAGTTGGGTTTCAGGAAGGGTGCTGAACAGTGCCCAGGGAGATGTAGTTCCCAAGTACTCCCACACACATGGGCAGTGAGATGCCCTTGGTGATTGGTCAAGGGAGTCACATGTTACTTTGAACCCACATATATAAGGTGTTGTCTGATTTGAATAAAGAGGATCTGCCTGTGAACCCCTCAAACTAGCCGGGTCTATGTGGTTTGTATTATATTAATATGCCTTAGATGGTCACCTCACACACAGGGACAGAGATAAGGCAGAGCTGTTTAACACATTCTTTGCCTGTGTTCAACACGCATGACAGACCAAGGGGGGGTCTCAGCGTCCTAAGTGGGAGGAGCATGACTGCCAGAATGATCAACTCCCAGTCAAACCTGAAACTGTGTGGGATCTGCTGCTCCAGCTGGATCCTTACAAATCTATTGAGCCTGATAGGCTTCAGAATCCTCAAAGAGCTGGCTGATGTCATTGCAAAACCTTTCTCGATAATTTCTGAGTGATCTTGGGGAAGCCACAACTCAACTTGAAGCTGGCAAATGCTCCTCAGCCAGGGGGAGACTGAGGGCAGAAGCCTGCAACTTTCTCATGAGGGGAAGAGGAGGGGCAGGCACTGATCTCTGCTCTGTGGTGACCAGTGACAGACCCAAGGGAATGGCCTGAAGCTGTGCCCAGGGAGGTTGAGGTTGGATATTATAAAAAGGTTCTTCACCCAGAGGGTGGCTGGGCACTAGAACAGGCTCCCCACGGCAGTGCTCACAGCACCAAGCCTGACAGAGTTCAAGAGGTGTTTGGATGATGGCACATGGTGTGACTCTTGGGGATGGTCCTGTGCAGAGCTAAGAGTTGGACTTGATGATCTTTGTGGGTCCCTTCCAAATCAGCACATTCTGTGATTCTTAACTGCACCTAGAGCTATCACCAGAAGCAGCAGTGATCCAGGACTATACAGCACTCTGCACTCCTCTTTCATTGCAACTTCTCCTCACCAGGGGACTACTACACAAGATTTTAAATGAGTTTATGACTCTACTTAGTATTGCTTTAGAACAGCTTGAGAGCTTAACACTTTTCTTCCATATTCAGTTACTGTGGCTTATCTGTCAGTGTGCTGGTCTGTTCAGTGCCTGAACTGTGCTTGCTCTTAAGGGACCTTCCAATGTATCTCCAGTATTCCTTTCGAATGGTGTCTTTTTCTTTAGCCAGAATTTCACACAACTACGAAAAAAAATAGAGAGAGTGAAGTGTTATACCAAAAGCTTATAGAATCCTTGTCTTTATAAAGTGCATGCAATATGTTTCAGATAGTATTAGAAACACCTTTCTCAATAACAATATTTGTTTCATTCACTGGATTTACAACTGTCCAACAATATCAAACTGATGACAACTCCAGTTGGTAGTCAACCAGTCTGACATTGCACAAAAATCCCTCCAGTTCCATTTCAGTCTCAACAGTTTCCTTGTGACTCCTTTCCATGCCTACCACTTGTCATCCACCCCAGCCTATTCATCCTATAGTATATCACAATATATTTCCTGAGAACCTTGACTGTCTTTTAGTGATCCAACAGGTGTAAACCACTTGATTCCAAACACTGGAGGATCATCCCGCTCTTGAATCTTCAGTACTCCTAATGGACAGACAGGAGAAATTCTGTTTCTGTTTTTTCTCAGCAGATTGTCCCAAAAGGGTTCTCCATGCAAGTCTGTAACCATCTCTCATGATATGTTAAGAGTTGGTGCTATACAGACATTTCTACATTTTTGTTTGGTGGTTTTTTTATTTTGGTTTGGGTAAGCAGTCACGTACATCCTACTCACAGGATAGGTTTTGTATATTTTACATGGTATGAACACTGTCTACAAAGGTTCTAGTAAATTCTCTTTTATTATGCAGGTGATATTGCCTTACTCAGTGAAATGGAATCGAGAAATTAGGAGCTTGGATGCCTAAACAGAGGAAGAAATCAAATTCAGTGAAATAGTAAAAAGGGGACACAAATCTAGGGGGTACAACTGCACTTAGTTACAATCTCCTCCTAGAACACAACAAAGGGGAAATGTTGAGAAAGAATAATGTTGGAACACAAAGACACCAGGCAAAACTGCAGCTCTAATTACATCAAGCTCCAGTTTGTCCCACAGTGAATGGAAAGTGTATTAAAATTACACTACAAACGGCACCAAGGAGTACCCAACAATACTGGGAGATAAACAACATTGCTAGAAGTAATCTATTCTCTGTAGGAAATGGTGCCTGACATTTGTTACCGATGTCCCCAGTGCCTGCCGGCCATAAGCTAATTGTGACAGCTTTCTTAGAAAAAGCTAAGAAGGGCAAAAGGAGCTTGAGATTGTTTGGATACAGATACTCTGAGAAAAAAACCATTAACCTACAGAGAAGAGAGTGAGTTCATGCTAAAAAGTTAACACTGGAAACCAATTGTTCAAACCTCTTCTTTCTTCTGCAAGCAGTATTAGAAATCTTCCTTTACTACCAGGTGAAGAAAACTTACAGTGATTCTGTAACTGGCGAGTTATTATTTAAATTCATGAGACCCTTGTGATTCTGTGGCTTTTGTGTTCAACTCTTCAGAGACCATTGGTTTTAGCAAGTAACCTGTTTTTTTTTATGAAAATCAACCCCATTTTGTCAGGCTGTAAAACCAGACAGCAAGAGATGGCATTGCTGAGAAGCAAAACCAAGCCCTCAAAACGTACCTCCAATGCCTTGTTCAGTGTTTCTTCCTTGTTATCACACTGGTTTTCAAGCATATCTTCATATATGTCCACAAGGAAGGCAATCAGATAGGGTGAACTATGACTGGGCTGTAAATTCAACAGTTCCTCTAACAGGTTTGGATACTTAGAAAGACCACGATCCTGCAGAATCCTAGAACAGAGGTTAATAGGCTTGACACATGATCTTGACCATGAATCTGGTATGAATAAATGCATTTTTGTTACGACTCCTTTGCTTGGAGATCAGTTTTTGAAATCAGGGTGCAAATACAAGTAAGGTAGAAGGTAAGCAGCATGCAGCACTAGGACAGCTTCATGCTGTATAAGCTAGCACAGTTCATGCTCGACTGAACAGAAGTTAGACTGAAAGCATGTTCCCTAATTCCTACTCTATGCTCTTGAACCTAGTAACATTACAGTCAAGTTTTTAAAAGCAGAAGTACCTGCAGTCCTCCTACAAGAACTACAGGGTTAGAAGCCTAGTGGAAAGTTACAGAGAAATGAGGTTAATGTAGTAACACCTTTTGTCAGTATTTGCCTGTTTGCTTAAGTACACTACACTAGGATGAACAGCAACAAGTTCTCTTCAATTAAGAAGCAGGCATAAGACACCTCATACAGATATTCTCTTTGCCTCACGGGAAAATAGACCTCACCCTTTTAAATAGTTCCAAGCACTCTCATTATGTGGCACTGCTTTGATCATCTCAAGAGTGTACCTGCAAGAAAAAGAGAACACGTCATGAATGCAACCAATAACAATACAGCTAGAAACTACCTGGAAGTGCTCAGAAGATTCCGAATGCATCCCTCTAGTCTATACTTCAGCCTTTTTGCAGATCATCTCAGCTGGGTCATACATCAAAAATGGCTCACAATATAATCATCAGAAGTCTCAGAGAGGCAGACACTGTGAAAGCTGTTTTAAAATCTGAAGTGTTCAATTCGGTGGGCTTTATACAATAATTAGCTGGTTCTCAAAATGATTAGCAATAACACTAAGAAACAACATAATATACTCTCCTGGTAGGCTAAAGGAATAACTTGATGTTATTGATGCTCAGAAATGGTGAGGGGCTGACAAAGGCTGGAGTAACTGAAGACCAGGGTGAGCTATGTTAATATGACTGCAAGTGGTATGTTCTGTACCTATTTGCAGAACCTTTTTCATGAGGCTGCACTCAAGCAAACCCATAGAAAGGCAGAGCTTGAGCTTTCAGCTCACACAGCCTTCTGCCAACAGTTCTTTGAAAGCAGCAGTGAGGCAACTGCTCTAAAGGCAAAGCAAGGAAAGGCACCTCCCATACAGTCACAAAGCCGCATTTCATCTCCACCAAACAGACTTTACCTTCTGCCCTTTCCCAGAATAACCAGGCATTCCAATGATGTCCAGAGACAGAGATACTGACAAAAAGTTATATCGGGCATACCAGAAAAAGAATACCCCCCCAAATCCTAACTATTTTTTAACATTCTGCAGTCACTAGGACAAAGACCGAGTTTACCGAGCATCAGGCAGCCCAACTACAGTTCTATAATGATATCTGGGAAGTCTTAAACCTTTGACAGTCTGGTTCTTAAGATGGGATCCAATTATATTGAACAGATCGAGGGAGGATGTCCCATCGAACCTCTCAAGAGAAGAAGCTGAAAATATCCAAGTGTAAGTCATGGAAATAGTTCAAAGTTATAAACTGGTAGAGAAGAACGACTTGCAGCAGGTTGCAAAGACAACCATGAAAGGTGGCGAGGCCTGGGATCCTCTGAAAAATGTACTAATGGACATATTCAGAAATTCAGTCTTTCTTCTGAAGAATAACTCCAAAAAATTCCAGTTCCTTATTTTGATTGCTTGTCCACATTAGACAAATATCTTCTTGTAACTAATAACCCTGACCAGCCGGCTGAGACACGAAACCTACATTATAAAACTTCTCTTACCACCATGAGTAGCAAAATACATGTCTAGAAGCCCAGTTTGCCTTCAGTTAAAAACATACCACTCAGAAACAGTGAGCTCATTTTCCTCAAAACTAGCTAACTCACAGAGGTAGTTGTCTTTGTGCCAACCACATACCCCTGAAAGCTCCTTTCTTTTTCCAGCTCCATCAAATTCCTCACAAAAGGCAACTGCTCTTTCTACAATCCACGTCCACATTACATTTAAATCATTGTGGCTACTGTACTACTGAAACAGCAATTTAGTACAACACAAAGAGTGCCTGTCATTCCAAGCTTTCCAGGGGTAGGATACTAATGAATGGCACAACTTAAGTGGTTCCAGTGTCATGGATTTTCTGCAGGTTTTCCCACTGTAGCTAGCTGATCATAAAAAGCCAAAAGTTTTGTTTGAACAATAAACAGAAGGTTGGGAAAACAGATTTATGAGAGTAGCTTGCCCAGGGTAAGCAGAGCTTGCTTCAGTCTAACACTTGATCAGCTACCCATGACAGTGAACCTCAAAAGTGCATAAAAACAGGAAACACAAGCCCATGCAGACTGTCAAAGTATTCCTTTGCTTCCATGTAATGGAGAACGCTTAATGTGAGCCTGAATAGCATAACTAACCGGACTTCTCTGTCTAGGACTGCTGGATCATCGTAGCCAGTGGTGTTGAAAATGACAAAGTGTCGTTGGTTCCAAACAGAGTTGTTTCTCACATCTTCTCTCAAAAGCTGGTCTACATATTCCAGTTCATTGTCCCATAATTTGAACTCCTATAGAAAGCGAAGGAAGAGAGAGAATCATAATCAAAAGTTTTTATCTTTTTAAAATACATCATCCTTGCTCCTAAGTTGTCTGAACATCAGATATAGAGACTTTTCTTGAAGAAATCAACACAAAGTTTAAAATAAAAAAATAAGGGTGCACTAAGAACATGCTACGCTATTCAGTGGCACTCAGAAGTTATTAGCTCATCATTAAATTCACACACATAACAGTAAGCAAACATCAGGGCAACTTTTTGACCTCAATTCCTAAAAGGCAAGTTCATAGCTAACCCCTACCACACACTAAAAATGCAATTGCTTTTCCCCCTTCAGCCTTAAGAAACAAAGTGCCAAATGCAATTCGCGTTGCATTTAAGAAGCGAAACTCTACAACCTGAGCAGGTTATTTAAGGAACCAATGAGTTCTGTGGATATACAATACCTGAATAACCCACTGTCTGTGTTGCCACGCATGGTAGTTTTTGGCATCTTGGTTAAGAATGTCAGCTATGAACTCAAGCTCTTGAGATGGATCCTGCAGCCACTCCACCAAGACCCGCCTGTGATGCCTGATGACAAGAGGCAAATTTTTTTGTGAACGTGTGGTCTGTATTAAAGCAGCATATAGCAACTGTTCTGCTCAGGAAAAACCCCACTAGTTAAATATTTCAAATTAAACACACCAAAGCATGCCACTTGGCTCTGAGAAATTTATGATGTCTACTTCTACTACAGTAAATTCTACCTATACATACACACTGGCCAAACATCTCATGTTAGGCAAGTAATGTTCACCTGAAGTAACCTATTTTCACTTTTAACACTCATGGCCAAAATCTTTAGCAGAATAAAATTTTCTAGTAGTACATAATTTTCTCCAGCAATATCAAGATTGCTGCTTTGCCTATTCCCATTCACTTTGGAGAAACCCAACAACAAGCAAGCAAACTTCAAGACATGATAAAAAAAAAACCAACCAATTTCTATTTGCCTCTTTGTTTGCTTTTTCACAAGTCATTTTTTTTCATGTCAGACTTATTTTGACAGTTTAAAAATTTAAATTAACAAGAAAACAAGATTTGTTTAGCATGTCATGAGCATATGTTTAGAACGAGTAGCTGAAGAGAACTTTGAGATGATGCAACTCCATTTAACTCCTCTGCTACTGCCACTGCAGCAGCTGCAGAATGCAACTCTTAACAACTTTTAGGACCAATGGTCACAACTTATGGACAATTGACAAAGCAAAAGTTAATTGCAAAAATGTTACAAAGTGAAAAGACTGCAGGGTTTTACCAGACTTGGTAGTTCTTTGGCTGATCTTCAATGATAGCTGTAATATACTTAAGTTCCTCGTGGAGATCTTTTCCCAAAGACTGCAGGAGGACTCTCCGGAAATGCCTGTATAAAAGTCAAGCATTTGAACACTGCAAAAGGGCTTTCCTAAAATTCATGGAGGAGAACACAGAACCACCTTTGTTCACAGTTCTTCTAATGGATATCGAGTTAAAAATAGTGAAAAAACCAAAACCAGTGCAAAAACCTAAACCACATATCTAGTTCTGTTGAAGGGCATTCAACTATTGGACAGTGAAGAACTGGAACATGACTGGTTACAACAGTTTGTTACCTAAGATTCTAGCAATGCTGTTTCAAGTTAACATATCTACACACACTAGTCTTTTAGTCACAGAAACCATGACTTCTGTGCTTAAAATAATGTAAACTTCCTGATTTTGTGGAAGTTAGCAGAATAAAGATGTACAAGAGGCACTGGTTGGCTTTCTCGAGTTAAAAGGACCTACTCTGAACATCAGAAATTCACTGTTTATTCATTACCTATCTAAACATTAACCTGACAGATCTAAAATTCACTATTTAGTAAGTATAAACTTATTTGCTATCATGCTTTTATGCCTCTTCTTGAAGTCAGCTGAGGGCATCTTCAGCATTTTGCCAAGGCCACATTATCAGATAAGTGATATAATTTTAAACTGCAAAGTCCTTTTTGTGGCTAACCCTGATCTTGACTGATAACATCCCCGAAGCCAAAAAACCCCACTGAATCAAAAAGAGACATGGAAAATACTGAACAAAGGCTTTCTTTGGAAGCTCACCAGAAATCTACAAACTCCTCTGTGCAAACTCAACTGGTCGTGCCCTTATTGGACTAATAAGATACTGAAGACATAAGAGGTAGGCAATCAAACGACCACAGAAACAATCCCAAGGTGATTACGTACCATACTGTGTAGTTTGCAGCGTTTAACTCAATGGCATCCGCTGTTAGCTTGAAAGCTCTTTCACTCCTCTCATCCCGCTGCAGAACAGCTCGGAAGTAATCATAGACATCTCGAACTAAACAGATAACAGTATCTTGTCCAAGGCTGTGAAACAATGGCGTTAGTGGGTTGACTCTGGCTGGATGCCAGGTACCCACTAAAGCCACCCTCTCACTCTCCCTCTGCAACCAGACAGAGGAGAGACAAAAAAAACAGCAAAGGATTCATCAGCTGAGATAACAGCTGGGAGAGGTCACTGACTGATCACCATCACAGGCAAAACAGACTCAAAGTGGGGATATTAAGTGAATTTATTACTAAGAGGGTCAGAGCAAAAGAGTGAGAAGTAAAATAACCTTAAAAACACCTTCCCCCTAATCCTCTTTCCTCCCATGTTCTCCCTCCCCCCCCCCAGTGGTGCAGGGGGATGGGAACGGGGGTTACAGTCAGTTGTTGTTTCTGCCGCTGCTCAGGGAGAGGAGTCCTTCCCCTGCTCCCGTGGGGTCCCTCCACAGGAGACAGTCCTTGATGGACCTCTCCAGTGTAAGTCCCTTGGGCAGCAGCTCTTCCCAAACTGCTGTCCTGTGGGTCACTCCTCCATGGGGTCAGTCCTTCACCAATGAGCTGTACCAGTGTGGGTCCCCCACAGGGGCCACAAGTGCTACCCAGGAAAAACCTGCTCCAGTGTGGGCTTCCCTCTTCTCAGGCTGCAGGTCCCCAGCAAGACCCTGCTCCCTCTTGGGCCTCCCATGGGGTCACTGCCTCCTTCAGATATCCACCTGCTCCAGCAGGGGCTCCTCCATGGGCTGCAGGGGCACCTCTGCCCCACCCTGGTCTGCACCACGGGCTGCAGGACCTCAGCCTGGAGCACCTCCTGCCCCTCCTTCTGCACTGACCTTGGTGTCTACCTTGTTGTTCCCATCTTCTCACTCTGCACTTCCCTGGCTGGAATTCTTTCTGTGCCACAATCTTCTTTTCTTAAATATGTTATCACAGAGGTGTTACTGTCACTCCTCCTTGGCTTGGCCTTGGCCAGCAGCAGGAAGCCCATCCTGGAACCTGCTGGCATTGGTTCCACTGGACAGGGGAAGCTTCTGGCAGCTTCTACCAGAAGCCACCCCTGTAGCCCCCCCCATCAGACTCAGCCACAGAAACCTACTACAAATGGCCTGATTAGAGGGTAACGTTAATAATCCTTTGAAGTTATTTCTTGTTTTGTGTACTTAAAGTACACCTCTTTAAAACAGTAGCTACGTATTGCTCTGACAGCACTTTAGACTAAAACCTCTGCATGACACTAGCCCACTGAAAAGCTGCAAAAGTATGTTAGAAATACACCACCTGAGTAATATCCAAAACAATCGTAAAAGTTCCATGCTGCCTACTCACCCTGTTTCTCCAGACGCAGGAGTTTCATATCTCACTTTCACTTGTGGGCTGGCAATGCCTTATGTCATAAACCACACTATCTGCTGTGTTACCTCTTAAGCCATAGGATTTTAAAGTAGTATCTGGGCAATTAACATCTCAGGTGAAGACTCAACTTCAGAGAAGCTTGGTGAAAACATCACACGCAACCACCATAACACAATTGTAGAAAATATTATCCAAAACATGAAGTCTTGCTTTAACAACACTATGGGCAGAAGTTTTCAGAGATGAATATATTTAAGACTTACATTTTTCACTGTAGATGATCTGAACAACAGGATTTGGCCCATCATTTTGAGGGACAGGTTCAATATCTGCCCATTCCTTCCTGTCCCTGTAAATACATGTTTTTGTCGTTTTAATGTTTCTAATTAATGCACAAAATGCTACACAAATGATGACACACACAAACACACACGTGTCCAGAAATACATCCTTGTTCCCAACAGGGAACAGTATTGCCACTACATTATTGGCTATAACACAGACCGGTATACAAACAGGTAAAGGTGTTCCAACATAACAAGGACATGGAACTGTTGGAGCAAGTCCAGGGGAGGGCCACGAAGTCGACAAGTGGGCTGGGGCTGAAGAGAAAGATGCATGGAAACCCCACAGCAACCTTCCAGTATCTGAAAGGGGCCTACAGGGAAGCCACAGAGAGACTTCCGTCAGGAATTGTATAGTGATGAGACAAGGAGTAAGGGGTGCAGGCTGAAACGACGCATATTTAGGTTAGATACAGGAAAAAATTCTTTACCGTGAGGGTGGTGAGACAACAGAACAGGTTGCCCAGGGAGGTTGCGGATGCCCCAAAGCCGGGGGCGTTCAAGGCCAGGCTGGACGAGGCCTTGAGCAACCCGGTCTACCGGGAGGTGTCCCTGTCCCTCCCTCCAGCTCCCCGCTCCTCCGGCCCCCCCGCAGCTCCGCCACCCCGCGCCCCCCAGCCCGTGAGGCGCCGCGAGGGTCGGTCCGCCCCGGGGGCCGCGCCGCCGCGGCCGCACCTGTAGAGCACGTAGCCGGCGTCCTCCCCGTCCTCCTCCTCCTCCAGCAGCTGCCCGAAGCCACCCTAT